AAAGGAACATAATTTTTAAACTAGAATCTGGCAAACTTTTCTCCCAAACTCTCCTAAGAAAATGAGTGGGCTATTTTTCCCCTTGTTGTTGAAAATATGGAGCCTAAGTTATAGGCTTCACAAATTTCTCATGTGTCAGGCAAAAATTTCCAAATAGTGGCAGACACATATGGCAGCAAATGTTGAAGACTTTGCATGCATGGTAAGCAATTGTTGACAAAGCAATGTGGATGGAAAAGGTTTCAAACCATGCAGCTGCCACCGAAATTTTTTTGGAAAAAATTCTTTGCCATGCAAACCAACTTTGTGGAAAATGTTGGATTTGCATTAATGAGGAAGGTGAAAAATTTCCTATAAATTGGAGGCCAAAGCAAAGGAAGAAATGTGCCAAAGTGAGAGCAAAAACAAGTGCAAAAGTGTTGAGTGAAAACACGAGAGATAGTGAGCAAGCACAAAGTGAGAAGCAGTTAGGCTTTCGTTTGTGCAGAAAATTAACGAGAGAAAAATAGAGAGATTGTCTTTGCGTAGGCAAATAAAATACAGAGAGTGCATTTGTTGTACTCCTTTTATCCTCTTGTTGATATAGTAAAAGAATTGGTGTGGGTTTGTGGACGTAGGCACAATTGCCGAACCACGTAAATTCTTGTGTCACTTGCACTTATTATTTTTTGCTACATTTATTTCTTTTCAGTTTAAATTATTCTGCGTCCCACTGATCCTGGCGGAATTAGTAGCGGTCTAATTTCCCAACATACATATCTGATCTAGGTTCAGACAAGCATACATTCATGTAATCACACTCATACTGGCAAAAAGGATTTTAGAAAAAGAAGAGAAAAAATAATTTTGCTAGTGTAAAGGAAGATGATTTAAAATGTGCAAAAATGGGTAGTTTTTATAAATTTTGATATTAAAATTTATTACATTAATTTTTTAAATTTAATTTATTATTTCTCATTTAATGATTCTAAATTAAATAGTTTGTTTTGCAGTAAAATGCGTTGAATATGCCTCCACTGCTTTATTGACGTTATCAAATGAGAAGGCTCAGGTTGATATTGTGATGGCAAATATCAACTCACTTGATGCATGCGCCTTTATGCTTCTCCAAGAAGCAGTTAAAATGGATTTGCTAGTGATTCGTAAGTGTTCTTATGTTTATATTTGTCCTTGATTATTGAACTTTCATCAATTCTACAAATTGTTTTTGTATATTGGAAACAATTTGACAAGATTTAACAATTTTTTTAATAATGTCTAGAGCAATCCATGGCTACATTATTGATTATAGAATTTCTGTTTACATGTTTTTTATTCAAGTGATGTGCGATTATGACGATAATATGATGGCAAGAAGTGCTTTGGAAGAAGGGGCATTTCTTTTTCTCAAAAAGCCAGTTAAAAAGGAGAATATAATGTACCTATGGCAACACCTGTGGAGGGAGAAGAGATTGAAAATTAAAGAAAAGGAACAACTTCGAGAGATGTTGGTATATAACAAAAAGTTCCATGGCTTTGTGGCTCAAGAAGATATTTCAGTGGAAAATGTTACGAGCCATGACAACAAAGTAGGTGAAAATGGACATAATTCAGGCAAAGAAGTTAGAAGTAGAAAGGTTTGGACAGAATGGACTCAAGGACTCCATGATAAATTTGTGGATGCTGTCATTCAACTTGGTGAAGGAAGTAAGCCTTTTTCGACTTGGATTTTTAAGATTTTAATCCTTGTATTCTTATCGTCGAACATGTTTGTGTATATACACGTTGTGCTTAACTAGTGCACTTTTTATCTTGTTTAGGATGCTTCCCAAAGGAGATCGTTGAGCTCATGAATGTACCTGGTCTTACAAGAATACAAGTGGCCAGCCATCTGCAGGTTAGTTATTGCAGCCTAAACATGATAATTCACAATTAGCTACTTTGAAAATATAGTGATAAACTTAATTTGTTTTAGCAAGTGCAATAATATTTTCATAATACGTGTAAACCTCTTTGATTACTTTTCGGAACATGGTAAGCATCAACCCTAATACACGGTGTTATGCGACTTTACAAAGACGTGTATAAAGTCATCTCCAAACATAAGTCACTCATAAATACAATATTTTAACTTATTATTCAATAAATGGAGTTGCATAAAGATTTGATTTGCATATTCAAATTTTCATCCCATTAAGTTGATGAATTTATATACTCCATTCATGATATTTAAAAACGCCTCTCTAAATTTCTCTTTCTAATTTTTTATGATTTTCTTGTACCATGCACTTAGAAAACCTTAATGACTATCTCCAGGGTTGGAATGAAAACAGGGAATAAATTAAATATGTTGATAATTTGATTCTTGTCTCTAGAAAAGATCTTGACACACCTCATATTAATATTTCTTCTTTTCTTAGAAATGTCGTATTGGGAGTTGGCGACCGCCTGGAGATCGGAAATGTCACAATGGTAATTTTGTGGCATCTCATGAGATAGAGGCTACCAAGCCAAGACCAAAGAAATTTGGATCGATGCCTATTTTAACAAAATATTCTGAGCAAAAGAATCCTCAAATACAAGAAAACACTAACAATGCGTTCGATCATTATCCTCAACTTCCTCAGGATGAATCCGTACAAGATTTAAGTGAATACACATTTGCTCAAGAGTTGTTGCAACGCCCTTCACAGAACAGGTTGGAACAAATTTAGAAATTGTGCCTGATGCATCCTCGCCTAATGAACCATTTTTGTTTTATTTCAATAGGGTCACCAGCAGAAACTTGCAAGAGGGGTTGCACTTAGAGCAGTTAGATGTGAAAACTGCCTTTCTCCATGGTGACCTAGAGGAGGAGATATATATGCAGCAACCAGAGGGTTTCTCAATCAAAGGAAAAGAGAAGCTTGTGTGCAAATTGAAGAAAAGCTTGTATGGCTTAAAACAAGCTCCGAGACAGTGGTACAAGAAGTTTGACGGATTTATGCAAAAAAATGGCTGCTACAAGTGCAATGCTGACCATTGTTGCTATTTTAAGAGGCTGGAGTCCAGCTACATTATTTTGCTACTTTATGTTGACGACATGTTAGTAGCAGGCCCTGACATGAACGAAATCCAGAAATTAAAGAAGCAACTGTCAGCAGAATTCGAAATGAAGGACTTGGGTCCAGCTAAACAAATTCTAGGGATGAGAATTTGTAGGGACAAGCAAAAAGGCACTTTGCAGTTATCCCAAGCAAAGTACATTAGTCAAGTTTTGCAGAAGTTCAACATGAACAATGCAAAGGCAGTTAGCACACCATTGGCTAACCACTTCCGTCTATCTAGCGACCAGTCTCCGAAAACAGAAGATGAAAGAAACTTCATGGCTAATATTCCATACGCCTCAGCCATTGGAAGTTTAATGTATGCCATGGTCTGTACAAGACCAGACATTGCTCATGCAGTGGGAGTTGTGAGCAGATTCATGACGAATCCAGGGAAACAGCATTGGGAAGCAGTAAAGTGGATACTGAGATATCTACAGGGTACTGTTGATAAGTGTTTGTGTTTTAAAAGAGGTGAGTTGGCACTACAAGGTTTTGTAGATGCAGATTTTGCTGGCGAGGTCGATCACAGGAAAAGCATCACCGGTTATGTATTCACAGTTGGTACTACTGCAGTGAGTTGGGTTTCGCAAAAACAGAAGATTGTTGCTTTATCCACTACAGAAGCGGAGTACGTGGCAGTAACCGAAGCTAGCAAAGAGATGATTTGGTTACAAGGTCTGTTGACAGAATTGGGTCTCAAGCAGGAGAAGAATGTTTTGCACAGTGACAGTCAGAGTGCTATACATCTAGCAAAGAATGCAGCATTTCATTCGAGAACGAAGCACATAGGACTTCGTTATCACTTCATCAGATCTCTCTTGGAGGATGGAGTATTAACACTGGAAAAGATCCAGGGCAGCAGAAACCCAGCTGATATGTTAACCAAGACGGTAACTACGGAAAAACTGGAGTTGTGTTCAACTTCAGTTGGCCTTCTAAAATGAAGATGAGGAAGGTAATGCACACCAATTTTACTAAAAAGGAACTGCTCACAGGATGTCTCAAGGTGAAGCCACATTAGTCTCCAAGTGGGAGATTGTTGAAAATATGGAGCCTAAGTTATAGGCTTCACAAATTTCTCATGTGTCAGGCAAAAATTTCCAAATAGTGGCAGACACATATGGCAGCAAATGTTGAAGACTTTGCATGCATGGTAAGCAATTGTTGACAAAGCAATGTGGATGGAAAAGGTTTCAAACCATGCAGCTGCCACCGAAATCTTTTTGGAAGAAATTCTTTGCCATGCAAACCAACTTTGTGGAAAATGTTGGATTTGCATTAATGAGGAAGGTGAAAAATTTCCTATAAATTGGAAGCCAAAGCAAAGGAAGAAATGTGCCAAAGTGAGAGCAAAAACAAGTGCAAAAGTGTTGAGTGAGAACACGAGAGATAGTGAGCAAGCACAAAGTGAGAAGCAGTTAGGCTTTCGTTTGTGCAGAAAATTAACGAGAGAAAAATAGAGAGATTGTCTTTGCGTAGGCAAATAAAATACAGAGAGTGTATTTGTTGTACTCCTTTTATCCTCTTGTTGATATAGTAAAAGAATTGGTGTGGGTTTGTGGACGTAGGCACAATTGCCGAACCACGTAAATTCTTGTGTCACTTGCACTTATTATTTTTTGCTACATTTATTTCTTCTCAGTTTAAATTATTCTGCGTCCCACTGATCCTGGCGGAATTAGTAGCGGTCTAATTTCCCAACACTTGTATGTGGACCATTTTACATCGGAAAACCTCTACATAGCAAGGAGCTATATTTTAGATTCATAAATAAGTTGTGAAATCTTTGGCTAATATTTCCAGCTGCCAGGAGGAAGATTATTTGCTAATTTTTCCTTCAGATATCTTATTGGTCTGCAACAGTTGCTTAACTTGATTCAGTCCACTGCATCAGGGACCCTGACCTTTTGCGAAGGATAGGTAATGCAACTGCAGTCGAAGTCAGAGCTACCGGAATTCCTTATGCATTTGCTCCGTGCATCGCGGTAAGTAATAAGTTAGCATAAGGTGTGCCTTATTTTAATCCTTACAGTCTCTAAGTACAATAGATTATATAAGATATTGTCTGCTGAACCCTCAGACTACTCTCTCTCTCTCTCTCTCTCCCTCCCTCCCCCTCTCTCTTCCTGGTTGAGGATTTTTAACAGCTTGTTAATCTTATGTAGGTTTGCAGAGATCCAAGGTGGGGTCGGTGTTATGAAAGTTACAGCGAGGACCCTAAGATAGTTGAAGAGATGACTGACATTATACTTGGGTTACAAGGTGAAATTTCAAATGGTTCGGAGAAGGGTGTCCCTTATGTTGCTGGAAAGTATGGAATCTATCAAATAAAATCATCTTTATGGATAAGATTCAGTTTAGCTAGTGTAAAGTGTTATTGATTTATTGGGATAAAATTGAGCTCAATTGTTATTTATTTAACCATTGCATTACTCCATTCATATTGTTGTTTAATTCTAGATTAGTTACATTATCAGGTCTCTTACTGTCTTTCAATTGTAATGATAAAAAACCTATTAATGTCTAAAGTTAGCAGATGTGTTCCAATCAATATTGACTGACTTCTATTACTTTTCTTTAGTTATTTTTTCAATCTTATTCTTTACTGAATTCTTAAAGGTTCAATTTTGGTAGCTGTTTCTTTATAACTTGCTAGACTTTGAATTTGAGACTTCCACACCTGTTGGCAACTTATTTACCTCTTTTTTTTTTATCAGGAACAAGGTAGCAGCATGTGCAAAGCACTTTGTTGGTGACGGAGGAACAACCAAGGGAATAGACGAAAACAATACCCTGATTGACATGCAAGGATTGCTCAGGATTCACATGCCTGCCTATTATGACTCAATTGATAAGGGTGTTGCAACAGTCATGATTTCTTACTCCAGCTGGAATGGTAAAAAGATGCACGCAAACCATGAATTGATTACTGGATTTCTAAAGGGTAAACTTCAGTTCAAGGTATGGTCTCAAAATGGCAATATCCATGCTTAGTTATTTAATTTGCATTCGATAAAAGTTGATATGCTTTGCATTGAATGCCATGAAGAATTCACATGCTCTTATGCTAAGATTACACATGCAATAATAGTGTTAACTGCGATATTTCATATGGACTTACTTTACTGTTGATATTGTTCTTTTCTTATCTTGCTGCCCATATCACTTTTGATATTCTTATGCTGAATCAATTCAAACTTTAAAACAACTTGAACCATTCCTGAGTAGCTCTGCTAATTCATCTGGGCGAACTACCATAGCCTGTTTTTGAATATGTTATTAGAATGTGCTTATCAGTAGAATGGTCAAGGTTTAGCTTCTTTTTCTTTCTTAATACTGTCAAATGGTGTCTAATCTATATTACCAAACGCGCCATCAGGGCTTTGTTATATCAGATTGGCAAGGCATTGACAGGATCACCTCTCCACCACATTCAAACTACACATACTCTGTTCTAGAAAGTGTTCTAGCTGGCATCGACATGGTTAGTGGCTTTTATTTTGCATCTATACACCACTGAAGTTGGTCCAACTGTTTTCTTGAAATTTTGAAATACTTAAATTTTTTACAGATTATGATCCCATACAATTTTACTGAGTTCATACATGAGCTCACTTGCCTGGTCAAGAAAAACTTTATTCCAATGGAGCGTATTGATGATGCCGTTGGGAGAATTTTGCTGGTCAAGTTCACCTTGGGACTCTTTGAGAACCCCCTTGCTGATCTTAGTCTGGTCAATGAGGTTGGAAGCCAGGTAGGTTAATATTTTTCCTCTCTGAACCTAGTCAATCTTATTTATAATGCTGCAAGTCATGCTTGCTATATGCCGTAAACAACTATACTGGATAAACTCCCTGTTTTAGTTCTCTGAGTTTAAACTACTAATATGACTGGTCTAAAATCTTCTAGTGTAACAGGCACACAGAAATTTGGCAAGGGAAGCCGTTAGGAAATCACTCGTTCTGCTGAAGAATGGGAAAAATGCAAACGATTCAGTACTACCCTTGTCTAAGAAACTGAGCAAAATTCTAGTTGCTGGTAGCCATGCTGACAATTTGGGTTATCAATGTGGTGGATGGACTATAGCTTGGCAGGGATTCAGCGGCAATAACTACACAAGTGGTATGTTTAGCTTGACTTCTGTTTGTGTAGTTGAAGATCTGATAAAGTTAATGAGTGATGAAGTTTTGAAGTCAATTACTTGGATTCTGGTGAATTATGTTTTGGAAGTAGTCGAAAAACCATTTTACAAGACACAAACTGAAATGTTGGAGTGTAACTTTTGAGTAATGCTTGCTAGAAATTAAAAGGGAAAATATTTCTATTATGGTCCACCTAACATTAATCAAGTAGTCTCAGTAAATTGCTGGTGCCTATAGAGTCTTGCATTTTATTGTTTAAATCAGTTCAAATAATCTTCTGAAAACAATTTGGACTGGTAATTAATTTCATTGCCAAACCTGTTTCATTGACAGGAACAACAATTCTTAGTGCAATTAATTCTACAGTTGAAAAAAACACAGAAGTTGTCTATTCTGAGAACCCTGACAGCGAATACGTCAAATCCCAAAACTTCAATCATGCTGTCGTCATCGTTGGGGAGCACCCCTACACAGAGACTAAAGGAGACAGCAAAACTCTCAAAATGATTGATCCTGGACCTGATGTTATCAGAAATGTCTGCGGGGCCGTCAAATGTGTTGTTATCATTATATCCGGTCGACCAATTGTAATTGAACCGTATATTACTGAAATTGATGCACTTGTGGCAGCCTGGTTACCTGGTAGCGAAGGTCAACGTGTGACTGATGTTCTCTTTGGCGACTATGGTTTTACTGGAAAACTTCCTAGGACTTGGTTTAAAACTGTAGATCAGCTCCCAATGAACATAGGGGATTCACACTATGATCCACTTTTCCCCTTTGGATTTGGTCTCACAACTAAAGCAACAGTGTCCAGGTAAACTTTCAAGTTTTTCTTATGCACAAATTTAAATTTATGTTACTTACTGATGCATATCTAATGCAGTCATACTAAGTCCCTGCCTTTAATGTTCTTACACTGCATTGAAAATAAAGTGTTCTCTTCATTTCTAACTTCGAAATGATCTATTCTACGAGTTTATAATTTGACCTTTGTTGGTGCCTTGATGGGCTGTATACATGAGATATTACTGAAAGGTAAATGTTGCTTTACGTAGGTCTGGTGTTGATGGAAGGCCCTGTGTACCCATCATCATGATTTTTGTATTTATTTGTTTGTATTTTCAAGGTAAATTTTTATCTTGAAAACTGGATTAGCCATAGGATAGTTGAGTTAGATGAAAGAACCAATACCATTTTTCTGAAATTAATTTGTGTGTATTATATCATAAGAGTAATATTATTCAACCCCACTAGTGCTTTTGACACACGTCTAAGTGTCTATTAAGTGTTTTTAAATGATCGAATATCTTAAATGAATGCAGAAACATATTCCATCCTTTCCCATCAACCCCGTGCACGCCCACACACAGCGTGAGAGGGAGAGAGATTTATTTAAAATTATTTGTGTGTACTTGCTTTTCCTTATTATGCCATTGGTTTTCCCCAAAACCCTTTAGAAGATGAAGTTGCATATCTCAAACCTCAGAACTGTTGCAAGAAAGGTCTCTCTCTCCCTTTTTTTTTTTTTTTTTTTCCTCTCTCTCTCTCTTCAAAATAAGACGGCGCCAACGGTCACACGACAAATCCAAATGCAGACAATATAGCAGGTGGTCACCTACTGGACTGCCACTCTAACCTCTCTGTTATTCAACATTATTTTGATAATCATGAAGGCCATACTTCCTCAAAACTTTGCATTGTTTCAGATTTCTTAATATCACGGAGGACTAGTTTTATGTGTGTGAAACTTTTCAGAATTTCATTATATTCGTTGGTTTTCTATTACATTTTCGCTTAATTTCTTCTCCATTTCGTCAGTACAAATTTATTAAAAGTGTTGTTTCATTGACCAAACACTTAGGCCCTGTTCTCTTTACTGTTTTCTGGCCTTAAAACTCTAATTAAGAAACTGGGAATGGATGAACATGTGACATGGAATTCCAAGAAAAGGAATGCAAAATTTTACATGTGCATGCATGAATATGGGAACAATGCAGAAAGTAGTAATATTTTTCTTAACATTTGTTGTTGGAGAAACTGATTTACTTGAAGGCTTAGATTTGAACTGAAGAAATTGTTTTATGTTGATTTTTTAAGTGTTGTGAATCTTCTTGGCTTTTTCTTCTAGCCTTCTCTCGTCTCGTCTAGTATGTTCTACTTCTTCTCCCTCTTATTTTCTCCTTTCCCGCTTAGATTTCGTTCATTGAGAGAAATAGTTACAGGGATAAATGGACAATATGGATAAAGGGTTGCCATTATTCGTCGTGTTTAAAATCAAGAGGAAAATATAGGACTTTAAGAGCATATTTGAGGCACACTTTTGAATAAAATTCCATATTCTTTGCGAAAAAAGTGTCTGGATTCCTCGTCATTTCCTTTTGTTATTCACATTTTGTGATATTGAAGCATAATTTTTGCATTTTGTTAATATTTCAAAATTATTCTCTCTTTTCAGATATCAAGTCTGACATGGAAAAGGGCGATGGATTAATGTTGATATCATTTTTATTAGTCTTTAGCACATAGGCTTGATTGTGTTGGGGGGACTTACCTCTAATGTATTTGGAATAGATTTGCCCATTTGATATGAAAAATTGGGAAACAGTTTTAAATTCGATTTTTTTACATGTAAAGGATTATAAATATCAAAATCGTAGAGAGAAGTGCACAACTAATTTTCACCGTTACATTTTTCAATAAAGAAGAATTTTATCTGTTTTAATTTGTTGGACTACTAATCTGATACTTGACTTTTGATTTTTTTTTTTTTTTAAATCTTTTCTGATTTTGAGTTATAGAGTAATTTGAAAGTTTCTATGGCTAGGAAAAATCCCTTTTGTTAGAGATTTTTATCGAGCATTCCTATCTATTACCAGTGATTGACTAGAATATTTAAGGACGTGTTTGATATGCATTCTTGTCATGTGCCATATTATACAAGATAACAAGTAAGATTTCTACTTTAATCCATAATTTTTTTTACTTGTTTATTCAAGCTTATGATGTAAGAACGTTACTTCGTTTATACAAATAAGTATGAGGTTGTTTTTTATGTACGGACGACTTGATAAGATCCTAGGCAAAATTTCAATAGAGCTCAACAAACTTAAAAATTTGGTCATCAAATTCGATTTGTTTCAATCAAATTACTCAATGTGGTGATTCTCAAAATTTAAAAAAAAAAATTAAAAATTAATTTTTTTTTTTTTTTTTTTTTAGGTGGTGTTGTGGTGATTCTCAAAATTTAAAAAAAAAATCATTTTTTTTTGTTTTGAGAAACTAACAAAAAGAACGCATTTTCAATAATTTCAAAACAAACACTCAAAACACAAAACTCAAAATGAATTCAAAACTCAAAACACAAAACTGAAACACAAAGAGAACACCCCCTTATTTTCCCACTTTTAAGCAAATCTTGAATGTGCAGGACACGGGGCTCTACGCTTTTAACCGGTTACCAGGTTTGTTTACTTACATACATTGAAAAACTGATAGTCGATGGCAGCAAACTTTATGGACTTAAAACTCTAATTAAGAAACTGGGAATGGATGAACATGTGACATGGAATTCCAAGAAAAGGAATGCAAAATTTTACATGTGCATGCATGAATATGGGAACAATGCAGAAAGTAGTAATATTTTTCTTAACATTTGTTGTTGGAGAAACTGATTTACTTGAAGGCTTAGATTTGAACTGAAGAAATTGTTTTATGTTGATTTTTTAAGTGTTGTGAATCTTCTTGGCTTTTTCTTCTAGCCTTCTCTCGTCTCGTCTAGTATGTTCTACTTCTTCTCCCTCTTATTTTCTCCTTTCCCGCTTAGATTTCGTTCATTGAGAGAAATAGTTACAGGGATAAATGGACAATATGGATAAAGGGTTGCCATTATTCGTCGTGTTTAAAATCAAGAGGAAAATATAGGACTTTAAGAGCATATTTGAGGCACACTTTTGAATAAAATTCCATATTCTTTGCGAAAAAAGTGTCTGGATTCCTCGTCATTTCCTTTTGTTATTCACATTTTGTGACATTGAAGCATAATTTTTGCATTTTGTTAATATTTCAAAATTATTCTCTCTTTTCAGATATCAAGTCTGACATGGAAAAGAGCGATGGATTAATGTTGATATCATTTTTATTAGTCTTTAGCACATAGGCTTGATTGTGTTGGGGGGACTTACCTCTAATGTATTTGGAATAGATTTGCCCATTTGATATGAAAAATTGGGAAACAGTTTAAATTCGATTTTTTTACATGTAAAGAATTATAAATATCAAAATCGTAGAGAGAAGTGCACAACTAATTTTCACCGTTACATTTTTCAATAAAGAAGAATTTTATCTGTTTTAATTTGTTGGACTACTAATCTGATACTTGACTTTTGATTTTATTTATTTTTAAATCTTTTCTGATTTTGAGTTATAGAGTAATTTAAAGGTTTCTATGCCTAGGAAAAATCCCTTTTGTTAGAGATTTTTATCGAGCATTCCTATCTATTACCAGTGATTGACTAAAATCTTTAAGGACGTGTTTGATATGCATTCTTGTCATGTGCCATATTATACAAGATAACAAGTAAGATTTCTACTTTAATCCATAATTTTTTTTACTTGTTTATTCAAGCTTATGATGTAAGAACGTTCCTTCGTTTATACAAATAAGTATGAGGTTGTTTTTTATGTAGGGACGACTTGATAAGATCCTAGGCAAAATTTCAATAGAGCTCAACAAACTTAAAAATTTGGTCATCAAATTCGATTTGTTTCAATCAAATTACTCAATTAAATTTTTTATTACTGTATGATCGTTCCATATATATATATATATATGTGTGTGTGTGTGTGTGTGTGTGTGTGTGTGTGTGTGTGTGTGTGTGTGTGTGTGTGTGTCAAAATTGTATAGATGGGTAAATGAAAAATAATTACTTACATTTTGCTGATAGATAAATTCGTTGTCAAAATATACCTTAAGGGAGGCTTCTGAAAATAGAGGGAATGTCTTTGTAATTGTCATAAACAACGGTGGAGGTTTATTTGCATCAAAATATAATAATTTCATATAAATCTGTAACGCGGAAAAAATCAAAACGAAAGGCAAAAATAGAGTTTGTGTCACTCGTAATTTAGGGTCTGGTTGGTCTATGTTTCGATTTTTAGTTTTGAATATATTTTAAGATTGTTAAAAATGTGTTTGATTTGTCATTTTGAAAAATTATTTTTTCAAATAGAAAACTAGAAAATATGTTTGCTTTCAAACATTGTAAAATTGTTTTGTAACATTTTATTCCATGAAAGTTGATTATTTAGTAAAAAAAAAAAATAGAGCAATTTTATTTTATATATTATCAAGTAATATTTTACATTTTAAAGTTGGAGAATCTTACAATAATTTTTCTTGTATAAAAGTAAAAAAATAATAATAATAAACTGAGTTCAAAATATAAAAAAAAATTAATTAATGGCACGGGCTAAAAATATTTTTATCTGTGTTTATTTAAATGTTTATTTAGAATTTTTATAAAATTAATCATTAAGAGCGTGAATTTTTTTTTCTAGAAAATTTTACAATTTTGTTTTCTCAGAATTTTTTAGAGAATTTTTTTTTAGAATTTTAATTTTTAAAATTAAAAAAAAATTTGTTAGAATTTTATATTTTTATTTTTTAAAATTTTATTTAAATACTTGTTTTTCATGTTTCGAGTATTTTCAAAATTTTCACTGAAAACGAATAAAATGTGTTTCAAGCATTTTAGAAATATCATACTATCATATTTTCACTGTGTTTTATTGGCATAAATTTTCATGGAAAATGTCATTTTTCACCCAATTTCTTATTTTTTGGGTGTTTGATTGGCAATTTTTTTCATGAAAAATATTTTTCAACTTTTGATCACGGGGTCATATTTTTCTCAAAAATAAGGAAAATATTTCCTTTAGGGAGATGTGGTTTTTATTTTTCAGATAATTCGCTCTATCTTTCTCTCTCATATATTCCCTTTCTCTTTTATCTACCCATCAATAAAAAATGGATAAATATTATACTTTTTAAATTGAAAATTAAATCAATAAAACACATTTAATTAATAATTTTCGTAAAAATAAATTCTAGTCAATTCAATTGCCTAGAATTTATTTTTTTTCCATGCAAATTCCATGCTCGCAATCAGATGCACCCGTTCGTTTGATTACAAAGATGAAATTTGGGTGAAAAGAAAATGAATTGAAGGAAATTGAAATTGCCTAAAATTTGTTTTAGTGAGAATTCTCAATTAATATTGTTTGATACGTATAATTTTTCACCTGAAAAATGTTAAAATAAAAGTGTCTTTTGGTATTCGTTTGGCTTTGTTTTTCATGAAAGTTGTCAATTTAAGGGCTATCCACTTATATAATTATTCCTAGAATTTGTTTCCATTGAAAAAAATTCAAAAATCATCTATATTTTGTTATTCATTTAGCTTTGTTTTATATAAAAATTGTCAATTTAAAGAATATCCTCTTTTTCAGTTGTTCATAAAATTTGTTCCTATAGCTCCAAAAAAAAGGGTGAAAAAAACCAATCCTCACTGTTTGATTAGAATTGATTTTCCACAAAACCATGGAAAATGCAAGTGTATGGGAAAACGGATTTCATGAAAAAATTTTACTATCAAACACACAAAATTAGTGGAAAATGGAATTCTTTTCCATGAAAATTGTGCCAATCAAACATGGCCGTGTTTTGTAAAATCCTAAATTGAAAACATATCGAAAAAGCAAACCAAATGCACCCTCCCAAAATTTTGATTTTTCCACAAAAATAATGCAGTTCCTTTTTAATCCATTGGACGGGCAAATCTTTAAATTATAGATTTTCACACTGAAAACGAATAAAATGTGTTTCAAGCATTTTAGAAATATCATACTATCATATTTTCACTGTGTTTTATTGGCATAAATTTCCATGGAAAATGTCATTTTTCACCCAATTTTTTATTTTTTGGGTGTTTGATTGGCAATTTTTTCCATGGAAAATATTTTTCAACTTTTGATCACGGGGTCATATTTTTCTCAAAAATAAGGAAAATATTTCCTTTAGAGAGATGTGGTTTTTATTTTTCAGATAATTCGCTCTATCTTTCTCTCTCATATATTCCCTTTCTCTTTTATCTACCCATCAATAAAAAATGGATAAATTAAATTGAAAATTAAATCAATAAAACACATTTAATTAATAATTTTCGTAAAAATAAATTCTAGTCAATTCAATTGCCTAGAATTTATTTTATTTCCATGCAAATTCCATGCTCGCAATCAGATTCACCCGTTCGTTTGATTACAAAGATGAAATTTGGGTGAAAAGAAAACGAATTGAAGGAAATTGAAATTGCCTAAAATTTGTTTTAGTGAGAATTCTCAATTAATATTGTTTGATACGTATAATTTTTCACCTGAAAAATGTTAAAATAAAAGTGTCTTTTGGTATTCGTTTGGCTTTGTTTTTATGAAAGTTGTCAATTTAAGGGCTATCCAGTTATATAATTATTCCTAGAATTTGTTTCCATTGAAAAAAATTCAAAAATTATCTATATTTTGTTATTCATTTAGCTTTGTTTTATATAAAAATTGTCAATTTAAAGAATATCCTCTTTTTCAGTTGTTCATAAAATTTGTTCCTATAGCTCCAAAAAAAAGGGTGAAAAAAACCAATCCTCACTGTTTGATTAGAATTGATTTTCCACAAAACCATGGAAAATGCAAGTGTATGGGGAAAACGGATTTCATGAAAAAAATTTACTATCAAACACACAAAATTGGTGGAAAATGGAATTCTTTTCCATGAAAATTGTTCCAATCAAACATGGCCGTGTTTTGTAAAATCCTAAATTGAAAACATATCGAAAAAGCAAACCAAATGCACCCTCAATGCACCCTCCCAAAATTTTGATTTTTCCACAAAAATAATGCAGTTCCTTTTTAATCCATTGGACGGGCAAATCTTTAAATTATAGATTTTCGGAGGACCTCTAAGCAAATTCAGAAAAGACAACCTAACACAAGTAAGCATTGGCCGTCTCTCCCCAGCACGCATTGCTAATAAATTGACAAATACAGTAGATATTGTACTAAATTCCATTACAAATATTACCATTTACTCTCGTTGGGATCTCTTTTTTGCTCTCTGTTCGTTACAGTAAGCATACATCTCTCTAGCTAATTGTATGATTTTGTTTTTTTACCGCTTCTTACATTTTTTTGGCTCCAAATCTTGAACTAATTTCTCTTTTACTGTTAATTACCTTCGTCTGTCTATTGTAGCTTTTTTTATTTCAGAATTTGTATAATTTCTTTCATGCTAATTGTAAATTAAGGGTTTTGGAGGTATACAACATTCGCATTTTATTTTATTTTCCGTTCCAATTAGGGTATGTTTGGATGATAGAGTTGGAACTTGCACAATTGTTGTTTGGAAGTATTGAAAAAGATTTATTTATTAAGGTAGGAAACTAATTGCACAATTATTGTTTGGAAGTATTGAAAAAGATTTATTTAATAAGGTCGTTTGAATTCGAGCTTGTTTGCTTGTTTTTTAATATAAAATCATAGTGGAGTACGTTTTGTTCTTCTGAGTTTCAAGGGTAGTTGTGTTGAAAAATATTGAATAAGAATGAAATGCACATGAAAGGATCTCGTATTACATGCTTGCATTTTGTGATTTCACAGGGGTTTACAATTTTAGGAGCACAAAGACGGTATGGGCTCATAATCAACTGTTGGCTTGGAATCTGAACTTGAATTTTATTTGTTCAAACTTAAGTTGATTTTGCATTAGTTTCCGATTCAAGATCATATTTTTCTTGATTGTCACTACATAGTCCCAACGATAGGTCTCCAACTATTGCAAAGTGAATCTGTGGTTTTACCCTTTTTAATGAATAAATAGCCTCTAGTTTCCGAACTTAAGTTGATTTCGAATAAATTTCAAACTAGAAGTGTTTTTTTATTTTCTATTTTGAGAAATAGCTTTTCAAAATGACAAACTAAACGTGTTTTTAGTAATCTTAGAACGGTCCCTTAAAATTGAAAACTGAAAATAAACTCAAAAATGAAACGCAAACCAAACGGTCCCTAAGTTTTTGGAGAATGAGGCTCAAACAAGGGCATAATATTGTTATCAAGAATACGAAACCAAAAACAGGTTTTGAATGTTTTAAAAAACTGAAAATTGAATGCAGTAAACCAAACATCCCCTAAGTGTTTAATGTCCTTCTAAAAGGGTTTTTGTTTTCTTTAATTATTCTTGGCTATATGTGTTATTTCTTTGTTATTATTTTCTTGATGTCATAGCATTCTTTATCCTCTTTTTGGTTGTAATCACGCTTATAATAATTAATAATTTTGTGTATCTTATTGGAAAAAGTTCCCTTGTTTAACTTTTGAGATGAACCTCGATAGAGCACTGTGGAAGAGCTTTCAGGTAGCCAAGGACTAAATATGGATAAGACTTTGTTGAGTTACATTGAGAAGTTGAAGGATACTGAAATTATTGGAACAATTCTCATATTCTTAACATGAATCAGAAGTGAGAATTTGGTGATTCAGTAAAATGTCATTCCTTGTGCTCTCAAAGATGATTGAGTTGATGTTATAATATAATTTCCCTGACTTGGTGGCTTCATGGCTTCAAACTGGAAGCAACATTAAGTTTTCTGTCTGGCTGCCAGTGTGCACATGTTTGCATATATGTGTTTTGGCCTTTGTCATATTGATGCAAGATGGTTACTAAAAAAAAAAAAAAAAAAAAAAAAAAACTTATCTTAGATATTAAGCATGAGATTTTTCCTACTAACATACCTTGTTGTGGGCTTTTTGTCTTCAGATTGCATATTCATGACCTGTCTCTTTACTCATTGCGCTTGTTTGAACAACTTGATTTTTCATTTCAATTTCTTACAAGAAAAAAATGCATCCAGATAGGAAGTTCTTTTATATAAATTGGATAAATATTTTGTACTTATCTATGCAGCAGAACTTATTTTTTTCAATCTATTTTTCTCAGTACAGACCTTATGGCTGAACTTGATCCTAGTTTAAATGAAAGTGAACTAGCACATGAACATGAATATGAACTCCAAATTCAACAAGAACAAGACCAAGAACAAGATCAAGGACAAGGACAAGGACAAGAACAAGGACAAGAACTAGAACAAGAACTAGAACTAGAACAAGAACAAGACCAAGAACAAGAGCAAGAGCAAGAGCAAGAGCAAGAACACCAAAATGGAATACCAGATAACTCACATCCTGATGAAAACCAGGATCTTGGAGATGATTCAGTTGCTAGAGGCGATATAAAATGGCCAGGGTGGCCTGGAGAGAGTGTTTTCAGGATGCTGGTGCCTGCACAGAAGGTTGGAAGTATAATTGGACGTAAAGGAGAATACATAAAGAAAACATGTGAAGAGACAAAGGCTCGGATTAAGATCCTTGATGGTCCTTCAGGAACAAGAGAAAGAGCTGTAAGTTAAATTTTGTTCCCATGGTTTGCATTTTAACTATGAAACTTTTATGTTCAACCTAGCATGATGGATTTAATTATTGCTTGCCTTTCAGTTGGTATTCTTACTAGCTCATGCTATCGTTTTTCTGCTCCTTCACTTCACATTCTGTAGGTGGGCTTTTCAATAGACTATTTTTGGTTGGAATATAAGTATATACACATTGCAGTTTAGGTCACTAGAGCGTAACTTGTGACTGTCTGTGTTTATTAATAGAACTAGATAAAACTGAGTGCAGAATGAATGGAGGTCAAAAATAAAACATGATAATCTAATAAATGCAAAAGTTACATATCCCTATGATATTTTTATTATTCAATTATGTTAATTTTCATTTCCTTTCTTTTAATGGGTTTTAAGTATTTGGTTCATGAGAGGTGAAATGACTTGCTTATTGGATCTGTGTCTAGTCAATTGATATATGCCTTCTCTTTTATTTTCAAGTATTTTTGGCATGTCTACAGCTGCTGTCTTTGTCATATCGATTACCCATAGGAATTCTCAATTTCTAGAAACCATAGATATATAAAACGTAGATGAGGTTGGCTAATCTGTCTGATACATGACAAGATTTTGTGATCTTTTTGCATTCCTTTTTTTCTTGATTTAGTCAGCGAATCAGATATTCGGAAAATTTTTCTGATGCGTGCAAAAATAGAGGCCTAATAATACTCTTAATATACCTGCCAGTGTAGTTTCTAGTTGGTGCAAATGATGTGGTGATTAATTTTCTCAGGATTTGGTTTTATTAAGTACTTCTATTTACATGTATATACACATTGATGTGTGCATGTATGTGTAGAGAGTGGGAGAAAGAGAGGGAAGGAGGGATGCCAGATTCCTCCTAATTCCAGCACCCAGATTTAGCAACTATGAATGGTCTTCAATTAAAATAAAATGATTCCTGCATGAGTCAGGTACTAAGGAGGATGTCTAATTCCTACTTCACTATCACTTGCAGCAGCTAGATTGACCAACCATCGATGATCTTCAGCTAAATTTGATGATTGCTATGGAAGGGAGGTAGGGCATTAGTGAGACTTACCAAATTATCTAGACTAGTCTAGAGAGAGAGCACAACATGGACATAATCTTATTCCTACTTATTTAAACTAAAAATAAAAATAAAAATCTTAAAATTGATAACTAAAAATATGAAAAAACAATAACTTTCCTAAAATTAAAAATAAGCTTGTAACATTCCATTGAGTGAATAGATCTTTCTTTTCTTGAAATCTTTCTTCTGATTCATGTCTGTTCCGATCATGGAATGGTGATTCAACATAGAATCTAAATCTTGAAACCAAGTGAATTTTGGGGCCGCTTTATGATAATGAAACCAATCAGCAAAAAGCATTCCCCTTGGAAACACCTTTGTTCTCGAGGGTGGACTTTTATGAAACTATTTGTCTTTTCCTGTGTTCCAATTTACGATTAGATATAATTCCTTGAACTTCTCTTGAAAATGCTCCATTGAATTAATCATATATTCGATATCTAACATTGTCTTAATTAATGAAGAACTTTTTGGAATTTTCAAGTTGCGATACTTTGGCCCAGGTTTTGCTCCAAGAGAAGCAGATCTTTTGTGGTCAAAATTTCCCTTTAATTCTGGCATTTTTTCTTTTGTTTTAGTGTCACATTCTTCTTGTCAAACTTAGGATCCGAAGTGGCTGCCCCACTGGATTTAATTAGAGAAGATGTTTGACCTTCTAACTGCATCATTTTCTTGACCCCCACACTTGATTCTTGTCTCGTGTCACATGTTTTTCTTTTTGTCCCATAAGTTAAAGAATATGGGCTTGTTCGATGTAGATTTTTTTACCGTTAGAGAGAAAAGTGTGTTCTACTTGTGAGAGGAGTAAAAAATGATGGCTGGAATAGTTAAATAACATTAAAAAAAATTAATTTTTTGGGAAGAAAAATCAATACCAAACATGCACTATATCTCAAAAAAATGTCACAATTAGGAGTGAAATAATGTCCCCAAAGCGTCAACTTTAATATATTGGTATATGATGCTTATATCTAGCACTCTGATATCCATTCTGTATTGACTACAATACATCTACATAAAATCTTACTGTTCTTTAAAGTGACAATGTCTCTGAATTTTATGGAAAAGAATTTGTGCTCTTGTTCAAAAAGCCAAAAACTTTAAACAGTTTCCTCCATATTCTGTACCACATTTGCAAGAAAAGATGTTTTAATTCATTCAAACGTCAAGGGAAAAGGGTCTTGCAGGTCAACACCGTTGATAGAGAATATCACCGTGTAATTTTAAAGGACCAAAGAGCATGTTGAAAGTCTTCACCTTGAAGGCATTGTTAAAATTAAAGAACTCAAAAGTATCAGAGTGAACTCAGGATTGTACAATATAGAATGATAAAAACGTATTGACAAGATTACATATCTTTTGATGACAAGACTCCACCTTTTGATCTGAAATATTGGAAGGTCAAATTAGATGGAACTAATTTATCATGACTATAAGATCCTTCACCTCTGAGTTTTTGAATAAAATGCATTATCCAACTAAGTGTTTTGCCACCAAAATAACACGAATACAGATAACAGAACATTGTGAACAGGGGGACGATTGTTCAGATGATTATCAGATAAGAGAACATTGTGGATGGGGGGGGGGGGGGGGGGGTGGGGGGGGGGGGGGGGGGGGGGGGGGGGGGGGGGGGGGGGGGGGGGGGGGGGGGGGGGCGATTGTTCAAATGATTATAGGTAACTAAACCAGAATTATGCGTTATTGGCTTCTCCTGAAGATGCACAAGTGAGTCATTTCTTACCTTGATATGAAATGATAGAGATGTGAAGGATACAAGTGGATAATAAATCTCTGCTAGCTAGGTGTAAGTAGCATTCTAGGCAATTCTAGCTTCACATCCATTTTGTGATGGATTATATATGCTTTTGATTATATAACATTTGAAAAAAAATTAGATTCTAACCCCCTAATATGGTATTTTCTTAGTAAGAAAATCCCATAAGGCAAAACATCATGGGCTTTATATACAGAATGTACCGTTGAAAACTTTAACCTTTTTAATCATTTCCCATTACATCAAATAATCCTGCTAATCCTCATTTGCACTTTCTCAAGAAAAGCTCATGTCACTTGTTGAATCAAATCTCTCTTGAACCAAGATCGAATGGTGTAATGAGCGCCATAAAGCTATGCTGATTTAAAAAAATAATCATTGAAATAATATTACATAATTATCTTGCCTTTGAAAGAAGAATCTGTATATCTTGAACTACCGTGTCTGTTGAACGTCCTAAGTCCATTTTTATGCCTTTTTGGCTTCTTGAACTGAATGATGTGTTACTCATATCTTTCACTTTGTACCTTTCCTTCAAAGGCATTGCTAGATTTTCTCTATTTCTATCTTGGTTTTATATATTTTCTTCTATATTGTTTTTTTGGTATCCTGCAGGCTACATATATATGTGGTTTTGCCATCTGGTTTGGTGCTTTTGTTTATATAGTCATTTTGGATGTACGTAAGAATTTATGTACAGTTCCAACTAAGTTGGTCGTAATGATGACCATTCTACCCTTTACTTCTGGGTATTCAATGCTGTTTCATTTTCATTTTCTGATTAGACAAGTATTATGTAAATGGTAAAATTCAGAAACGAGGTCAACATAATGTTTCATTGCATGAGCTTATATAAAAAGATTTGAGCCTTTGTTGTTTAACTATGGGGGATTGGTGATGATGCTTGATAGTGCAGAGTTGAAGACGAGGATCCATACGAGTATGAGACAGTTAAAAAATTGGTAGAGTTGAGTTGTACAAGTATCTAAATACACATGTATACTTGCCTTTTTCTTTGATCCATTTTCTGCAATATGAATTTTATTCAGCCTAGAATTTCTTATAGCTTCTGATATTGCAATACACCATTTTTTCAATTTTGAAGAATTTTTATAGCTGCTAGTTAGTTGGGTTTTACTAGAGCTGATGTTGTTATCTTGTGGATAGGTTATGGTATCTGCCAAGGAAGAGCCTAATGCTCCTCTTCCTCCTGCAGTAGATGGTCTCCTCAGGGTTCACGAACGTGTTGTGGGCGGGCTGGATGGTGATTCTTTTCTCAGTCCACCAGGTGCTGGAGGCAAAGTTTCAACAAGGCTGCTTGTTCCAGCCGCTCAAGCAGGAAGTTTGATTGGAAGACAAGGCACAACAGTTAAATCCATTCAGGAAGAGTCCAATTGTGTTGTCAGAGTTCTTGGAGCAGGTTTCTCTCTTTGCATTGTTTTAACTGTATGAAAATATGGTGCTTGACTTACAGCTGTATATCTGGGATTTCTTCTCTGGTTGAGTATATATAGTTCATTTTATCTCTGTTTGTCACAAGGTAGTTCATTCGCAATAAGTTGCTGGACTATTGATATATTTTACTGGTTTGAAATATTCTTCTATTGAGTCTTAACTTATTTTATCTTTTTGTGGAACTGGTAACTTCCCTGTGACTTTGGAAAGAAGCAGATTGGATTTTAGAGTTTGTAGTGGAGCCCGTACTTACTTAATTCTCTTCACATTGCAGAAGATTTACCTGTTTTTGCTCTTCAAGACGATAGGATTGTAGAGGTAGTAGGGGAGCCTGCTGGCATATATAAGGCAATTGAATTAATTGCTACTCATCTGAGAAAATTTTTAGTCGACCGCAGCATAATTTCTATAATTGAAATGCAGGTTAGTGTTCCTTTCATTATAAAATCTAATTCAGGTCAAATTTTCATCAGTCGAATATATTGATTTGACCTAACTGAATGCCATTCTTGTTAGATGCAAATGCCAAACTCTGATGTGGAACACATGCCTCCTGCCCAATCTTGGGGTCCGCCTCAAGCTTTTCCTCCAAGTGCACCCGGAGGTCCTGGATATGGAGCCAATCCTCGTTTTGCTCCACCTCCTAGGCAATTTGATAATTATTATCCACCTGCTGACATGCTGCCTCCACCAGAAAAACAACCCCATCATGGTATATCAGCGTATGGAAGAGAAGGTCCAATGCCAATGCATTCTTCATCGAACCAGTCTGCACCATCAGTAGTCACTCAGGTAGTTCTGTCCTGATTTTGGTTTTTTTTGACATCTGATAGGAGAATTATAGTTGGAACAACGAACTTTCTTAGCCCTCCTGAGTGTTTTATTATTTATTTTTTGGGGGGTTGGGGGGGTGGGGGGGGGGTTGGTTTACATTTAGTGACACCAGCAAACTGTCAACAGACACAGTGCCATATGAAATTTCTGTTATCAAATTAAGAAACAGAGGATTTATATGCTGGGAGCTCCATCAAGATCTTTATAGCATCTTTCAAGTGGTGCAAAATTATCTCCAGATTTGTTTGATGGACCTTTGTACTCAGCTATTTACTGATCATTTTGCAGGTCATGATTAATTAAGTCATAAAAAGATTGCTAGACCCAATTTTACAGGAAAAGTTTGCTGTTGGCTATGATTTGGTTATACCCATAGTTACTTTTGACAATAGTAGATGAGAAAATTCTGGAGCCAAAAAATTCAGCCTTATCTCCGTGTTGTGTGTGGTTCAGGGCTTGACTAATGTTGGTCAGTATTCATGCTTGTGATAATTTTTTCTGTTTGGCCGGTACAAATCAGACTTTCGACTTGATACTTTGCCTGGTTTCATTTTAGCTAATTGAATTTTCAGTTAGCTTGCACAATGGAAAGAAGAAATTATTAGTGTACCAGGATTGCTAGTCCATATAGACATAATTAAATGATGCAAATAAAAGGCAAATGAAAATGGAGAAGACCAAAAATAAATTTGGGTATATATTTCTATTGCGACTTAGATGAATGATTGGAAGTGGTGATTTTGCAGGTCACACAGCAAATGCAAATTCCGCTTTCTTATGCTGATGCTGTAATTGGCACTCAAGGTTCAACAATAAGCTATGTTCGGAGGGTTAGTGGTGCTACAGTTACCATTCAAGAAACCAGGGGTGTTCCTGGGGAGATGACGGTTGAGATTAGTGGAACTGCTTCTCAAACTCAAACTGCTCAGCAATTGATCCAGGCAATCTTATGAACCCTGACTTTGAATTGATTTTCCAAAGCTGCATATCTTTTTCTCATAAATTTTTGTTATGCGTAACCATGAAAAATTTGTCGTACATTGATTTCCAACCTTGTATATCTGCCACTCTTTCATGTGCGACATTGAAGTTGATGAGCAACAAACTTGCAGCCGATTATACTCCTTTTTCGTTTCGTTTCTGCTTTGTTTTTTCTTATATCATGTTAGGCCATTGGAAAACCGAGTGATGTCACAAAGTGATGTTTCAGTTTCACCTCTGTAACTAGAGGTATAAATTGCCTGAGATGGGCTCGGTTTTGTTGTTGGCCCTGACCTGTGCGAGCATAACTAACCATATTAACTGCTTTTGTGTTATTTGTTTTTTTCCCTAAAAAATAATTTTCTTTTGCAATGGATTCTGTGTTGTGTAGAGTCCAACCCGATGGACGCTTCATTAATGAATGGAGGGTCTGCCCATGACACTTTCGGTTTTCATTTTTGCTTTTTCTTTTCCAATTTTCTAAAATTGTAGTCCTGGCACGGCAGGACAGACCTAATGCCTATTTTTACACCTATATCCGTGGCAACAGTTTTTACGCCCTTTGCTGTGCTGCCACAACTCTGTATCATTGTTTAATTACTGAATGGTCAAATTGCTATTTACTAAAATAATGATGAAGTTGATGTCTTGCAGAATTTCATAGCAGATGCTGCTGCTCCACCTCAGACCCAAAACGTTCAATCAAACGATCAAGTCTATAACTCTTATGCAGCCCACGGTTCGGTATACTCGTCTCCCCCTTCCAATCCTAATCTTCCTGGGCAAACCGGACGTTACGGTTCAGTCTATGGTGGCAACTATGGTTATTAAGTTGGATGATAAATTTAGTGTGAGGCTGAGAGTCATTATGTGACTGGCTGGATAGATGTACCGTGTGATCCTTGTATGATGATTGCCCAAAACATTAAATATACATCTTGCAGAAGTTCGGTTTAATTTGATACAGAGCCAATTGGATACTATTCTACATGTACCTCAACAAACTTGTCGATCTTTGCTCATTCGACTCTTTTGGATAGTTTGCGATGCTTTTAGCGCATGATTGGTATGTAATATTATGGATTAAAATCTTAAATCGTTTTTGTTTTAGTACTCTTCAGTATTGTCTAATTTATTTTTAGCGTTTTTATCCATATGGTTTGTTGTGGATGTTGAGCATAATTTTTATTGATAAAGGTGGAGGAAAATACACAACACTAATGCTAACATTATATAATATCCTAACACGTAGAGTAGAACTTAAAAGAAATTTGGAATCAATTTTTTCGCAAAACCAACTTAGTAGTAATGTTTGCATATAGGAAACCTTCTCGATGATGAAATGCACATTTTTATGAAGGGAAATTCGTGTCGATGATGACACAATTCGTCATTTTGGATGAATGGGCGCCATTAGTTTTGGCGCGTTGAATGCATTCTTTTATGGATAAATTGTATGTGGAAATTTGCACGCTTCATCCCCAACTTATGTAAAACGTAACAAATCTACCATTAACATTTCAGCATAATCCATCCACAAAGTCACAATTCCCTTCCTTTTGGACACATTCAATGACGTATTTGTCCTTTTCCTTTATTTAAACAAAAATAAATAAAAGAAAGAGTAAAACAACCAAAAAAAAATTGCAAATAAAATCCGTAACTTATAAAAAGTACAAATTAATCACACTTAGTAACAAATGGAAATTAGAAAAAAAATTTCTCAAAAATCAGATCTACATCTACTCGAAGGGATGAATCGCCCAACATGATCTTCACAAAGGTTTTTGCTTGAACAAGGCATTCCCAGGTTCAGTCCTCGTACAACTAGCTATATACACTCATAAATTTGTGTCTGACAACAACTGAACTGAAACTCGCCCGACTTTCTGGAGCTTGGTATGCTTCCTTGGCATGTCTCAAAACAAGAAATGACAGAAAGCAATCCTCTTAATTGAATTACCCTGCAATTTTCATTTCATTTCCTTGTTCTATATTTTGTACCACCCTGCCTCCCCTCCCCTCGCCGAAGAAATAGGAAATACTAACAATAATTTTTATTTTTATTTTTTTTTTTTTTTTTTTTGGGGGGGGGGGGGGGGGGGGGGGGAAAGAGAGAGAGAGAATAATCTCATTAAAAAATCTAGGAATTATTGGGGGGAAGCCATGAGGTTAATAATCCATTATTGCATTATCAAGCCAAATACAGGATGCAACTCATCATAAGCTTAATAGCATGATGTCATGGACAAGAATTACCCTACTGACTTGCAACCTCAACTAACATGAATAAATAGATCCTAAGAAAACCTCTGCACAGATGAAGGGCTTACTCTACCTTTATTACACTATATATTGCCAGAATGATGACTCATATTGGTGCTGCACATGTTGTCCTGAAATGGCCTGTCTGATTGCAACGACTACAATGTACGACTCTCTTCACACGACCATGATCTTCAGCTCTAACTCGCTTCTTCCTTGGTCGGCCGGGTGGGCGCAGTGATTTAGGTGGATCAACAACAATCATGGCAGTTTTGCTAACATTTGGATCTCCCTCAGCTAACTCCTTCCATAATGTTTTATCGGGAATCGGGTGTATGGTTTGTGAGTATGTCTTCCGATATGTAGCAACAGTAAAACAGCTCTCAGTGAATCGATGAACATTCTGCCTGCACGAAAGTAGAGCTGCAACGGCATGTGCACAGGGTAAACCGTACAACTGCCATCCTCGGCAAAGACAGCAGCGATTTCGGATATCAACAATGTTTGTCCCCTCGTGGGATATTACCTCAAATTCAGCTTCATTGGCACGAAGAACCTGGTAGGTACGTGCACGCTCAATAGCCTCTGCAACGCACCTTTCAGCTGTAGGCACTAGAATAGACGTCCATTGTATGCTAGTCTCACGACGTTCGTTGAACCAGGTCATGAGCTGCCTTCGAATGCATTCCATCATCTGAATTATTGGAAGACCGGAGGCTTCTAACATCCAAGCATTCAGAGATTCTACCATATTAGCCGTCAAATGTCCAAACCTTGTCCCCTCAAAATAGGCAGTAGCCCATAAGCGAGGGGGTATTCGCCTAATCCAGAATGCAGCATCTTGAGATATCTCTTCAATCTCTAAAAATTTAGCTTCAAAATCAATGACAGTAAGAGCATGTGCAGCATCCCACAAAAGGTTGACCAGCATTGTATTGTTGAATTCCTTACGAAAGCTTTCACTCAAATGACGCATGCAAAAGCCATGGAAAGCAGTGGGGAAATTTGCTTCCACGCCATCTATGATACCCCTCTGCCTATCTGACAAAATTGTAAGCCTTGGCATGTTCTCTGTATTGACCTCGAGCAGGTTATGAAGTTCAGAGAGAAACCACATCCAGTTGTCGTCGTTCTCCTCGTCGACAACACCAAAAGCCAAAGGAAAAAGGTAACCATCCCCATCAAATCCAGTGGCCAGAAGTAAAGTACCAAGATATTTGCTCTTCAAAAATGTCCTATCAAGCCCAAGCAGTGGACGACAAGCATTCAGAAAACCATAGATGGATGCCTGGAAAGAAATAAAGAGGCGCTGGAAGCAATTGTCATTGGGATTTCCATAAACAGAGGCAATACTTCCTGGGTTTGTCCGTTTTACTTGCTCACAGTACTGTGGGAGGAGACGATAGTCTTCTTCAAAGGATCCACGCATAGCAGCCATAATACGTTCCTTTCCACGCCAGGCTTGCTTGTATGACAAAGCAATACCATGAACTCGATGAATTTCCTCCAAGATCTCTTTCGGCTTGCAATTGGGGTTTTCAAGAAGCCGTTGCTCTACTGAATTGGCAACCCACTGAACTGAGGCTTGCTGATGGCCAAGATGAGTGATACCTCCACATGTATGGTCGTCGTTGATGGTCCTGATTGTGAAAGTCGGCATACCAGGTAGCTTCGCAGCATGAATGCGCCAGGGGCATCCCTCATTGGCACATTTAGCAGTAAAGCGAGTTTTATCTGATTTTATGGTTTGCAATTCAAAGTGGAGGGCAATAGCTGTGTCCCTCAAAGCCCTTCTACAAGCTTTGACATCAGGAAATTCTTGTCCCACGCGAAGCTCGTAATTAGGGCTCACAGCAAGAGTACGTGCCTGAAGAACATGATTGGGAGTAACTACTAGAGGACCATGCTGAACACTCGTATCATGCATAGGTTCAATACCCAAGTCCTGCTGGATAACTGCTAATTCCATGTTCTCGTCAAGTTCCTGGTTCCCAGATACAACCAATTCATTGTGTTCGGACATATCTAACTCATTGCTCTCTGTAGGTAAAGACGCATGGCCTTCATCTTCAGGCTTTTGCTCCAACAATTCCCCACTCTCGTGTTCATATCCATGATCATCAATGCCCTCGATATCATGGCTCCTCCCCAAACCTGCTTCGTGGTCATGAGTTTGGCCCATCTCCAAACCATGGTTTTGAGCCATAGCCACATTGTGATTATGACTAATCTGGTTCTGACTAAGAGATACACTGTGGTTCTGTCCAAATATCAAATCGTTGTTCACCATTTTCCTCCCAATCTTGAAATAACTGCCTTAATTCACAATGTCATATTATCAAAGCTTTAGAAAACAATCTAACAAACTTTACAGTAAAAGATTATCAAAGACACAAATAAGTCAAATAAGTTAACACAGATGTTGGCTATGCATTGCCACTCAATAGAACTCTAACAAACAGGAAGCAACGCATTAATAGAAACATATAACATTTTTTTCACAATGACTTTAGTTTCTATGACAACGTGGAAATCAATATAGAACCACCATTTTTCGTGCAAATATAAACAATTTTCAATATACATGAAATAGAAGAATAACAAGTGTCACATATTTCTACAAACAGTAGAACTCCGCACAGCAAACATAACATATTAGGTCAAACAATATAAGTGAACAAGGATATATTCTTTGCCAATCAGTATAACCCCAACAACTGGCAAGCAATGCATTAATGATAACAAATAACATCTTATTCATAATGACTTTAAATGCTACGCATCATTGAAATTGATATAGAACTACCTGTTTCCTTCAAACACAAATAATTTTTAACACACAAATAGAAGCATAACAAGCATCATGTACTTCTACAGCAGTAAAACTCCACAATGAAAACATAATATATTAAGTCAAACATTTTACGTTAGCAAGGACATTTGCTTTGCTCTGCAATCAATAGAACTCAAACAAACAGCAAGCAATGCATTAATGGAACAAGTACCAGATTTTTCATAATGACTTAAACTCCAGGCCAAAAACAATATAGAACCACCATTTTCCAGCAAACATAACAACTTTCAATACACACAAAACAGAAGCAACAAGCTTCACGGACTTCTACAACAGTAAAACTCTGGACAGCAAACATAACATATGAAGTTTAATATTTTTAGGCTAAAGCTGACATTTGTGATGCTTTGCCAATCAACAGAACTCCAACAAATGGCAGGCAACGCATTAGTGAAAACAACTAACATTTTTGATAATGATGTTAATTACTAACCACCATTTCCCGCAAACACATACAATTTTCAATACACATGAAACAGAAACACAGCAAGTGTCACGTACTTCTACAACAGTAGAACTTCACACATCAAAGGTAAACATTTTACTTTGCTTTGCCAGCAAGTAGAACTACAACAAGTGGCAAGGAATGCATCGACGGAAACAGATGACATCTCTTTTGTAGTGACAATAATTGATATGCCTGAATAGAAATCAATATAGAAACAACATTTTCCCCGCAAACAAACAATTTCAATAAGCATAACAAACGTCGCGTACTTCTACAACAGTAGAACTCCGTACAGCAAAGTTAACATATCAAGTCTAACATTTTAAGTTAACAACATGGATATTTACTCTTCCTTTCCTATTAATAGATCCAGCACACAGCAAGCAATGCATTAGTGGAAAAAAATTAATTTCTTTTTCGAATGACTTTAATTGCTATGCCGGTGTGGAAATCAATATGGAATCACCCTTTTCCCTCAAAAGTCAATCGTTTTAAGTTAACATGGCTATTTTCTTTTCTTTTCCAACGTATGGAACTCCGACAAATGGCAACCAATG